CAAAGAAACCAGTTAGGACTTTGATAGAGAATGTGTTGAATTTGAGTAACATTAAGTCTTCTAATCCATGAGCACAGGATATATTTCTATTTCTTTAGGTGTATAATATTTTTAAGAATGTTTTGTATTTTCATCGTACTAGTACATGCCTAGTACTTCCCTTATTAAATTTATCCCTGTGCATTTTATCCTTTATGATGCTGTTGCAAATGGAATTATTTTCTTAATTTCAGTTTTAGGCTTTTCCTTAATAGAATACAATTAACTTTTGTATCTTGATCTTGCTGTGACACTGATACGCTCATTTATTAGCTCTTCCTCTGGTCCAAATTGTTTGTGCCCTCTCTCTTCCCCAGTTTGTATGTTGAAATCCTAATCTCCATTGGTAATGGTATCCGTAGGCAGGACCTTTAGGAGGTGCTTAAATCAAGATAAGAAATCAACCGAAAGACTTTATACATGCATATAAGTACAACCAATGGACACAAAACTTTGGGGAGGGAGGGCATGTATGGGGGGGGGGGGGCAATGGTAAGATATGTACACAGATAATAATTTAATAAAAAATAAAAATAAAATTTAAAAAAGGAAGGTGGAACCCTCATGAATGAGATTAGTTCCTTGTAAAAGAGGCTCCAGACCTGAAAGCAAGCTGTCACCTGGCCATGCTGACACTCTGATCTGGTACTTCCAGCCTCTAAACCTGTGAGAAGTAAATGTTTGTTTTTAATAAGCTACCCAGTCTGTGATATTTTATTATAGCAGTCTGAATGGACCAAGACAGCTCTAATACTTCTTTTATGGATTCCTTAGTATTCCTACATACAAGATTATGTCATATGAAAATAGAAATAGTTTTACTTCTTTCTTTCCAATCTGGATGACTTCTTTTTTCCTTTATTGCCAATTGCCCTGGTTAGAACCTCCAGTGCAATGTTGAAAAGAAGTGGTGAAAGCAGATACACATAGAAGGAAAGCTTTCAGTCTTGCACCCTTAAGTAATATTAGCTGTGTGGGTTTTTCATAGAAGTCATTTATGGGTCTTTTATCAGAATTCCCTTATATTCCTAATGTGTTAAGTGATTTTTATCATGAGAAAATGTTGGATTTTGTCAAGTGATTTTTTTCTGCATGATTGTGTGATGTTTGTCCTTTATTCTACTAATATGATGTATTACACTGATTGATGATTAACCCAACCTTACTTTCCAAGAGGGAAATCCCACTTAGCCATGGTGTATAATCTTTTTTTATGTGCTGCTGAATTCAATTACCTAGCATTTTGTTGAGAATTTTTGCATCTATATTCCTAAGGGATATTTGTCTATAGTTTTATTTTGCAATGTATTTGTCTGTTTTGGGTAGCAAAGTAATATTGATCTCATAGAATGAGATAGAAAGTGTTCCCTTTCTCTTCTGTTTTTTGGAAGAGGTTGTAAACATTTGGTATTAATCCTTTAGATATTTGGTAAAATTCACCAGTGAAGCCATCTAGTCTCGGACTTTTCTTGTGGCAAGTTTTTTTATTTATTTATTATTATTACTAATTCAACCTCTTTATTTGTGATAGTTCTATTCAAATATTTATTTCTTCTCAAGTAATTCTCATACTTTGTGTGTTTCTAGGTGTTATAGACAACAGCATAAACAGCATGGACCTTATTCAAAATCTGGCTCAGATGTCAAGACTGATGACACGACTACACACACCAAGAGTAAATGAAAGTTTTATGACAACCTGATCTGAGAACAGAAAACTGACTGAATTTTTATGGTGGTTAAAGAGTGAGCTAGGCTGAGGGTTTTCACATGCAGACCGGTCCTTAAATAGTTTGATAGCATCAGTGCCAAATAAGGGAGAGCCTGGGCTTTCTTATCAGCTTGCCCAGGGGCAGGAGAGAATGAGAGAGGAGTGAGGCATAAAAGATGTTAGGAATCAAACATAAAAAAAATGGAATTAGACTTTTTGATACATTAATAATATGTCCATTTTATCTAATTTGTTGGCATACAGTTGTTCATAGTATTTATTCCCTTATAATCCTCCTGGTATTTGTGTAAGGTTTATGGGAATCTTCATTTTCTGATTTTAATAGAGTCCTCTTTCTCTCCTACCTCCCTCTCATTAGTCTAGGTAAAGGTGTCTTCTGCCTGCTCTAATCTGCTGTTCAGCCCCTCTAGTAAAATTTTCATTTCAGTTATACTTTTAAGCTTCACACTATTTGTTTCTTTTTTAAAAAAGCATTTTCTCTTATTTGTATTCAGGATTTGATGAAATTTCGTTATTTTCCTTAAGTTCCTTAGAATATTTTTCTTTAGTTCTTGAATATCCAAAGAGTTGAGTTAGTCTTTGTCTAATAAGTCTGACTGGACTTCCTAAGGGCTATTCTTTTTCTTCCTGTATGTGGGCCATGACTTCTTGTTTCTTTGCATGACTCATCAATTTTTGTTGAAAACTGGATATTTTGTGATATAATATGAATTCAGTCTCTTTTCCCCTCACCAGGATTTGTTGTTGCTGCTGCTGCTTGTTGTTTCTTTGCTTAGTGACTTTTCTGGACAAAGTCTCTAAGCAAAGAAATATGGTTTAGTATTTCCAAGGGCAGGGAGTTCATCATCACCATCTCATGGCAACTCACTGCTTTGCTGAATCACTCCCATCTTTAGAGAGCTCTTCCTGTACTGAGCCCTAAATCTTTCTCCCATTTTTCCCTTGAACACCTCAAAATGGAGCTATTATCATTTCTATGACAATTCTTCCACCATTTTAAAGGCTTCTCATAACTGTTTCTAACTCTTCTAACTGCCATAGCCTGAGATATCCATCTGACACCAAGCAGAATCTGGAAGGTCTAGGTGGAAGAAATAAATTCCCTTTGAGGTCACAGGATCTAATTGTTTTCCTATCTCCCTTCCCACAACAAGTGAATCCTTGCATCACCTCTACCCCATGAGTACTTCCAGTTACACAGACACACAAGAGACACAGAGAGAGAAGAGGTTCTATTTATTGCTCTTTGGGGAAAGTTATATAGAACATAATTTGGGTAAAATTACATTCTAGTTACAGATTCATAAAACTTTGCTTGAAACCAAATTAACTTCCATGACACTATCGAATCCCCTCTCCTCCTCATACACAGCAAAGTACCTTAATCATAGTCTATATAATCCTCTGTTGTTTTTAAATGATTAAAGCAGACATAATACACAATGCGGTTGATATTAAATATCTTGAGAATGACAAATCAATAGAACTACTTTCACTCTTAAGCATTAACTTGTCACTTATAAATGTTCTGCACACACTTTTTTCCCCTTTAGATTTTCTCCTTAAAAGGGCTTGTGAAACTATTCATTATTATCCACTATTTGTACACACACATCATAAGTCTTCCAAAATAACCGTTAAAATGATTCTTAATATTGCCTCATAAATGTTAACCTTTAAGGAACATTCAGTTTAAAAAAATAAAAGCTCAGGTCTGGACTCTGTAATGCATGTTCAGATGTGTCAAGATCTTATTTCCCGCCGACCTGATAAAAGCCTCCGACAGCATACAATGCGCCCGCCTCTTCTTTGCTCAACTCAAAGGAAGTCAAATAAAGGAGAAAAAAAATGCTTGAAATCACAGTGACCAAAGGATTTGAATGAATAATTACATTAAATAACCATAACTTTTGTTTAACTATTCACATTCCACACAGTGGAAATTATCCTTTCCTCCAGATTTTTCACTTACATTTTAAACTTTGAAGAGCTACAATAATAACAACAACAACAAAAACAACTTACAGACTTGCAGGATGCGTGTTTCTCTCATTCAATGCCAAGCACAAAGTGTACATCATAAAATTCATATTTGGGGTTTGGCATTATTTTAATAAGGAAAGATCGAGATTGCAAATAGCTTGCCACTTAAAAGAAATTCTACTATAGTAATGAAAAAAACATATCAGTACATCATCGGTGACTCCAATACACTATGTAACAGATATGGCACTTTTAATAAATGTTGGGAGACACACCGTACTTGTGCGAGTCTAATATAGGCACAATAAGAAAAGCAGAGTTCCCTCTTTGGCTAGGCTGTGTTTTTTAGGGCAGTTATGCTGCTGATTATCCCAGTGAAGTTCATTTTGAGGAAATTCTCTTTACTTAAGCCAAATTCAACTTACATGCAAGATGTGGTACAAGCTAGTAAAAGAAGATTGCTGCTGCCAACTTAAGTCATCTCTCTTAACACAACTGCATGCTTCTGGCACAGTTAAAACAAGAGAAATTCAGTGACACTGGTTCTGAATGTCATTTTTCCTCTTGAGTATGGTTTTATATTTTCAGTTCCTTTCCCTTTCTCGTCCTTTCCCCCACCCTCAAAAACTCGGGCTTAGCAGTTGTGTGCTTAATTAAATCCATTCTGTGGTTTATTGCTGGAGGATGTGAATGATAGAAAGATTTAGGGCAGGGGCATACAGTGTATAAGAAATGCACAAATTCACCTAGTGTAGTAGGATCATCAGTAGTGAGTTTTAAAGTTTTAAAATTAGACCCAACATTTTGGGTGTTCAAAATAACTTCTGCTGCAGAGTATGGTTCTTGTTTAGTTATTAAATGGGAGAACACTGAACCAAAACAACAAAAAATAAAATAAAAACACCTTTTTTAGTTACAATGGGCCTTCGAATGCTGGAGCCTTGATGGGCAACTGAAACATGAATCTATGGTATTGATTTCCCAGGTTACACATAACTTGGTTACCCCCAAGGCTGAGATGATACAAGACAAAAAAAAAAAAAAGTGTTAGGGGGCGGGGAACAGTTTACATATAAAACCTCAGGCTTGAAGGAACAGGTTAGACAAACCCCAAATGCAGTAAGGTTCCTCCACACCACACTTGGGCCATTACATAAATCTTACGTAGCTATTGAGAAGTAGCTCAAGTTTAATTTTAATCAGAGGACAGCCTCTACCAGTACACTCTGGAGAGTTACAATGTTCCATGAATCCCACCAATGTGACCATGACAGCTAATGAACCCAAATGCTCGGATTTCTTACCGGGGCTTCCCACTAGGCCCTCACCGGGCAAAGGAAGAAGGGGAGAACACGTCCCTCACATCTCCTGCCAGGCATTAAACTACTCCTTAGCCAGAAGCAACCTCTTTTACGTCCTCACTCTCTTCTGCTCTCTAGCTCAAACTTCTCTCAATGACTGCGGCAAAAGATTCTTCAGGCTAGAATGGAGCAGGTCCTACACGCTCTCCTCTGAGCCTGGTTCCTCACTGTCAGGGACATCCAGCAGAGGCAGAGACTTTACAGCCAGCCTGTGCCTCTCACAAGCATTACCCAGAATTGGAAAAGAGGTGATTATAACCAAGCAAAGGGAATTAGTGCCTCCTGCTTACAAGGTTTCTGTTCTCTTTTGATTCCTACGTGGGGGGTGCTGAGCTACATCTATTTGTCTGCCTGAGAGGCAAAGCAGGAAGGGGCGAAACTCAAAGTGGTCAGTACTCGTATTTTAAAGTTTGGAATTGGGCTCCAACTCGTTTCAGCCAATCAGAGTGACAGCCAACGTTAATGATTTTTATTTCCCACAATTTCATTTATCCCCTGTTCTCTTGGGTTCTGTTAACCACCAGGAGAAAACTTGCTAACACAAGGGTCTACTGTGTTTGGGGGCTGGCCTTCCAAGACCCCGCACATCTCCCTGATGAATGTTGCTGGGCCCAAGTGGTCCTTAAGTTCAACCCCTCCCTTCTCTCACTCCTCTGTCCTTCTTGCCCTTGTCTGCACCAGCTCCCCTAGAGTCTGAAGGGTCTTCCAAAATGAGAAACATTTACATCCATGGTCCAGTGAGTTAATTTAGAACCCTTGGCAAATGGGAGATTAGACTGACACAGTCACTGAGATCCTACAAAGGGGTTGACTATGGAAGGGAGGAGGAAGGCGGGAAGCAAGCACAGGTTGAAAAGCCCCTTCCAAGTGTAATACAGCACTAACACAGGTCTCCTGCCCTCAGAGCGGCCTCTTCCATCAACATTCATTCTAAAGGGAGAGTCCCTAAGAGGGCACACAGAAGACAAAGGCAGAACCAGAGCTCGGACCTGCACCTATGAAGATGCCTGGGGTGGGGTGGGCTTTCTGGGCCGTCCCCTGTGGAAGCAGATTCATTTGGGTGACAGGAAGTGCCCTCCAGCAGAAACTGTTTCCTCTGGTGTCTGCAGGCAGCCACGGCCACCCATGCACACGCATGCACGCAAACTATGCACTTGCAGGTGCCCGTCAGGAGGCAGCTGGTGGTTCTTCTTGTCTCTAGATTTAAGCCAAGTTCAAATCAAGTTGCTTTAGGTCTGGCTCTGGGACTGCCTGGGGCTGCATCCCTGGGACAGGCGGAGTGTCCCGGCTTAATCCAAATCGATGGAGATGCAACGGCACTGCTTCACACGTGTCACCCGCTTCTTCTTGGTGGGGGGCTGCAGTTCGGGGCAGTTGAGTGTGACCATCATGGTGGTGAATTTCTTGGGCTTGCAGAAGGAGCAGGACTGGAAGGAGCCTTCCTCCTTCCGGATGTGCCTGGGGATGTAGAAGGAGTTGCACTGGCCGTAGCAGAAGCGGTTGATGATGGTGCGGCTGTTGCAGCCCTCCTCGTGGATGGTCTGCTTGAGCGGCTGGGTTTTGCACCAGTCTCGCTTCAGGTATTTGCGCTCCGTCACATGCAGGGCCTCCTGGCTGGACTCCAGCACCTCCTCCCCCGGCATGGCCGTGCCTCGCCCCTGGCCCCGCCCCCGGTTCCTGGAGCCAGGCTGCTGTGGAGACTGAGTTTGCTCCGAGTCGTTGTGCTGGGCCTTGTCTGGCGGGGGGATGGCACCTTGGGACCCATTCTTTTTCCCTTCAGCAGCTGGCAGTAAGGTCCCCAAGAGGAGAAGCAGGGCTCCCACTGTGTAGGCGGTGCGGCTCATGCTAAAGGAAGGAAACACGGAGAGGGAAGACATGAAAAATAGAGAAGTTAATTCATTAAAATGTTAATATTGCCATGTGCTGTATCACAACATTTTGGTCAGTGATGGACTGCAGATACAGTGGTCCTGGCCCTAGCCAGTTTGGCTTAGTGGATAGAGCCTTGGCCTGCAGACCAAAGGGTCCCGGGTTCAAGTCCAGTCAAGGGCACATACCTCTGTTGCAGGCTCCTCTCTGTCTCGGGCCCTGCTCAGGGTTCCTGCAGGAGGCAACCAATCCATGTGTTTCTCTCATGTCTTTCTCTTTCTCTTCCGCTCCCTCTAAAAATCAACTTTTCTCTCTCTCTTCCACTCCCTCTAAAAATCAATGGAAAAGTGTCTTCCGGTGAGGATTAACAAAAGAAACAAACAAAAAGTGGTGCTGTGAGGTTATAATGGAGCTAAGAAACTCCTATTGCCTGTGACATGGTAGCCATTGTAGAACAAGGCATTACTCCCATGTTGTAGTGATGCTGGTGTGAACACACCTACCGTGCTGCCAGTCACATATCTGTACAGCACATACAATTATGTACAGTTCATAAACTTGACAGTGATGATAAACGACTATGTTACTAGTTTATGTATTTATTATACCAAATTTTTATTATTTTAGGATGCACTCTTCCTACTTATGAAAAAAGGTTTCTGTAAAACAGCTTCATACATCTAGTGTTTACCACATGTTTTGATGAAACCATTTTCTCTTGTGCTTGATTTAATCCTGTGTTGTTCTCTACAACAACATACTACACAGGCTTGTACCTTAGAAGCAATAGGCTATCCCCTATAGCTTGATGTACAGTAGCCTAGACTGTCTAGGCCCATGAGCTCTATGTTGTTGGCTCACAGAGGACATCACCTACTGTATCTCGTGTTAGGCAGCACATGGAACAGCAGCTAGTATGTCACCAGGCACTTGATAAACATTTAGGTAAAATATTTCGCTACTTTTCACAATATCTCTATGAATTGGCACTATTATTCCTTTTACCCTCCTAGCCATCAGGCTGCGAGGTGCCCTGCCCAAGATCACACAGTGACTAAGTAGAGATCTGAACTCAGCCAGGGCCTTCTCTTCCCTCGTCGCAGGTACTCCCAGGGGAATTGCTTCCTGGCTTCTGACACCAACTACGTTTGATCTGTATCGTGGTCACTTACCTGTATTCATTCCTAAACTTGACAGTATTCAGTACGTTCCTACTATTTCAATGCCAGATTACCTTGCATCTCTTTGGGAAATGTATCTTGTTTTTCGCAAAAATAAGCTAGCTTCACACACCAGGCAGGTCTCCCAGTCTTTCCCCCAGACTAGCCTCGGTGCTCTCCGAGTTGTGCCCTGGTTGGATGCTTATGATGCTCACTGTTTTCAGGCTTAGGAAGGTGACCGGTGGGGAGACCGGATGAGGGAGGATACTTCACAGGAAGAGCGCTGAACAAAAAGTTGAGACTGAGTTTCTACTGGAATTCCTCAAGCATAAAGTTGCTACCTGAGCTGAGGAAAATCACTTTACTTTTCAATAAATGACTTCATTTAAGCAACGGTATATACCGCATCTCCCCAGACAGACTATTCAGATAAGTTCTGATGTAAAAGTGAAAGCAATTTGAGATTGACAGTACTGCAGACAGAATGAATTACTTTACCACAAAGATCTCGTAATTCACAAAGACTCCTGGACCCTTCACTTATTCTCATTTTTAAACTGAATTCAGATATTCATTATATCATTCTTTACACAAAGATATATATATATTTTTCCACTTTAAATGATGAAATGTATCATTCACGTGTGTGTGTGTGTGTGTGTGTGTGTGTGTGTGTGTGTGTGTGCTTGCGCGCTCAGACGCATGTGTAAAATTTAGAAGGCAGAAAATAGGCACAAGAGAACAGGTGTGTGCAAATATTTGCATTAATAAATGCCATAGATGTGTTAAATAGATTGGTGACAATGAATTATTGTGGGTGGGTCTGGATTTAGATAAAGATAAGAGAGGAAAATGGTATATGAACAATGACAAAAAATTAAATACGGGGGGCAGAAGGAAAACTGACAAGAGAATAAAACAGTAAAGCAAGGATTGAGAGAGAAAAAAGTTCATGGAGGAAGGAATGTAAATTGGGAAAAGGAGATTTGTTCTGAGGAAGGATGTTCAGGAAGGGAGGGCAGACAGAGGAGAAAGAGGAGCAGGAGGAGCATACTTTTAAAAGTAAAGCGCAAAAGAGAAGCATCAGAGACTCTGAGGATTCTCCTGGGACAGCTTCTCAAACCTGAACATGCATGTAGTCACCAGGGGACGGATGCTGTGAGAGTGCAGGACTGCCTTTTAATGAGCTTTGAGTGGGAAGGCCTACAGCACTTGCAGCCACAGCGTACAGAGGGACAGGCATTTTCAGATTCACAGCCTCCCTCCTCGGGCCATCACACTAAATCTGACCTGCATCCTGAAACTTCCCCTGGCCTGCCCTGCCCTGGACTTAGCACTGTTTTCTGAGCTTAAGGACAAAGATGTGCAGCATCATTTCCCTGCTCTCTTCTGGACACTGGTGTTACCCAAGGTCATCAACGAAGTGCAATTTAACAGAAACCTTATCACAGCCCCCCAAGGAACTATCAGCTAGAGCAATCACTTTTCAAAGACAAAGGCAATGTGGACTCTACATTCTCTACAGGACACCCCTGTCAGTAAACACCATGCAACCTGAAGGACGCTGTCAAATTGAGATCATTAGATATTAAATCTAAAATATCCTTACGTGACCCATGGACACAGATAATAGGGTGCTAAAGGCCTGGATCGGGGGCAGTCTGAGGGAGAAACGGGGACATCTGTAATACTTTCAACAATAAAGAAATTTTTTTAATACTAATAATAAGTAAATAATAAAATATCCTTAAATGGCACCATCTTCCCAACATTAGCTTAATACTTTAGGGCGCGTTCAAGTTTGGAGCTGATGATATGACATTTAGCTCTCTGCTCTGACTGCAGACTCCCTGGCTTTTGTCAGTTTATGTTACAACATCCCTGTTCTTTAAACAGAGCCTTTTTTTCTTTGCCTCACCACCCAAAAAAATTAATTTTCTTGTTTTGTCTTTAAAAAAAAAAAAATCACTCACGAGAAAAGTCCAGTTATAAACCAGGGCTGATTTTCTCCAGAGCCCAGGAGAGCTGGAGCCAGGACTGTTCGGCCTCCTCCACAAATGCTATAGAGTGAAACTGAAAACGCTTTCACCAGTTTGTGCCATTTATTCAGCTCGGGGACAGGGTCTAAACTAAAACAGTCTCTGCCCATTTCAAAGAGGAGCATATAAGAGCGCCCCGGGCCTACCCGCCCTGTCCCTCAGCCCTGCAGGATAACGCAGCCCTCCCAGAGCCAGGGCGGCTGAGCCACATCACAGAGGCCAACTTGAGGCTGACTGGCAATGTATGCTGACTGCAGTATGACGGGTTCACGTCACGAGGCCACCCCTCCCACAAGCATCTGTCTGAAAATGTCTTCCCCCCTTCCCCCCTGGCAGACCAACGTAGGCCTTTCTTTGTACTCGGCTTTTCCTTCTTGGCATGTTCACATCTGTAATTACGTAAATACCTAAACTGAGAGCCACGAGGGTGTACTCATCACCTTATCCTCAGCACCTGGCACACAGTAGGTGCTCTTAAAAGAGTGATTATTACAGACCATGTGGGATTTATAGTTTCCATTTCTTTTCATTTTAAAACTCCTTCCCACCTACCAATGGGCAGTGCAGCCGACTGCAGTCCTCTCATTCTCACCCTCAGTAGAGCAAGCTCCTTACAGTCTAGGGAGTTTCTAGATACTTGCCTTCCTCTCTCTAGAAGAACCCCAAATAGCCACTACTTTCTACCTGATCCCCAGCAGAAGGCAGTTTTCTAATTGAAGTCATTGTATTCACTATGGCAGAAACCAACAATCAAGCAGTAAACCCCAAATTAGTAAACTGTGGTTTTCAGTTTTAGTTTGGGCAGACTTCCTGTTCCTATGGGAGCATGTGTACCCCATAAGCCAAAGGAATCCAGAATGGCAGGCTGGTGGTTTCTTTTAATAAGAAAAGTAAATTTGCCTCTAAATAAGATTTATTAGATGTGGAAAATATTATGAAATATTTTGTTTTGTTTTTTTTCATTTTTAAAAAGCCTATTCTTCAAAGGTCTTCAAGTGCTAATTTAGAGGTTTTTAGAGTTCTTAAATCTTATTAACTAGCTGTTTGGAGAGGAGTGAAAACCAACTTCTGGAATCTCAATCAACAGAGACCTCTGCTTCTTAGAGAAGAGCAGTGCTCTGAAAGACTGTACGTACTCCACAGGAGTGAGAGTGAGGGGATGAGGCAATGAGGACTGGAATCAGGGTTCTGTCTAGTGATTGTGGCCAACCATCCAACTCACTCTCCACCCACACCCCCACCTCCATTCCCCATCCCCCCTCCCCCCCCCCCCACACACACACACACTCGAACCTGGTCCTGATGACTCAGTGAAGGATATAGGACTATTTTGCTCTTGAAATCCCATTTGTATGGCCACCAAAAAATTAGCATTAGGATTGTAAATATCCTAGACATGGAGAAAATCAAGGAGATGTAAATTCCTTGAGGACCATTCTTTTTCATATCAATAAGTGGAGTGTCCCATTATCAAAACTCAACCCAAACCCTGGTCCAGATTTAGGTTCCTATGAATTATCACCCATGTGCAACCATGAGTTGCAAACATTTTTTTTTTTTTTTTGGTAACTTGCATTTACGAAATGACCCATACACATCTTTAAATTAAAGGTGTAACTCAGATCCAGACTGCATCATGACACCCACAAAAACCTCCCTTGATTTTCCTTTACAGACAATATTTTTTAACCTTACCTCAATGTCCCCTTAATGCATTTCTCCTCCAAGTAATGTGATCATATTGTCATGGTGAGCTTTCCCTACTACTGTTCCCCA